AAAAACGCGTTTGTATATATAGAAGAACACTACAGAGAAATTATTGAAAAAGCCAAGTAATTATCCTTCGGGGTTTGAAAAACAAGGATAGCCTTTTGACATCTTTTAAAAAATATCTATGGTTTTTTTTTAAATGACGATGTATTACTTTTGAATTGGAAAATAAAACATATATTAAACACCCAGGAAAGAAAACACGAGAAGGAAATACAGGAAAACATAATCCAAGGTTGATTTGGTGAGATGGGATTCTGAGTGTTCTTGTCTTTCAATTATTTCTCCTGTTGTACATTTTGTGATAATAAGCACAGGTATTTTTCTCTCTTTCTTGTGAACATTTATTCATCTTTGAGAGATAGAGCACGAGGAGAGGAGAGGCAGAGAGAGAGGGAGATACGGAATCTGAAGCAGGATGCAGGCTCCCAGCGGTCAGCACAGAGCCCTACGTGGGGCTCGAACCCACAAACTGTGAGATCATGACTGAGCCAATGTCAGACACTCAACTGACTGAGCCACCCAGGCGTCCCAAGCGTATGTGTTTTTTAATAATTGGAATACCATAAATTCTATTTAAAAATAAAGATTGAATCCTCTGTTCTTGTTTACAATTTTATTATCTGATGGAGGGAGCTGGATGGAGCATTCGTAAAACAGTTTAAAGTTTAGGAATCAGTTAGCTCAGGGGGTGGCAAATGTTTTCTGTAAGGAACCGGATAGTAAATATATTACCCGGATAGTGTGGTTCATATGGTGTGTATTACAACTATTCAGCCCTGCTTTTGTAGCAGGACAACAGATATAGACGCTAAGTAAATGAACTGGAGTGGCTGTGTTCTTAAAAACTTTATTGATGGGGGCGCCTGGGTGGCGCAGTCGGTTAAGCGTCCGACTTCAGCCAGGTCACGATCTCGCGGTCCGTGAGTTCGAGCCCCGCGTCAGGCTCTGGGCTGATGGCTTAGAGCCTGGAGCCTGTTTCCGATTCTGTGTCTCCCTCTCTCTCTGCCCCTCCCCCGTTCATGCTCTGTCTCTCTCTGTCCCAAAAATAAATAAAAACGTTGAAAAAAAATTAAAAAAAAAAACTTTATTGATGGATACTGACCTTTGAATTTAATCTAATTTTCATGTGTCATGAAGTCTTCTTTTGATCACCTTCCCCCAACCCCACCCATTAAAAATGTAAAACCATCCTCAGACCATACAAAAACAAGTGGCAGGCTGAATTACCCCCCAGAGGCCATAATTTGCTGACTCCTGAGTTAGAGATCAGGAACGTGATGAATGAAACATCCTATAGTGAGGCTGAAAGACCCCCAAAAGAGGTGGCCAATAAACTCTATTTCCTTTCCTTTCCTTTATTTTATTGTATTTATTTAAACCTGTGATTTCTCTGCATCCTCTTATTCCTTTACTAAAGAATTTGGTACTTACTTGGGTGTCTGAGGAAAAAGATGCCATTTGGTTGAAACACGAATATAGGAGCAGGACAACCTGAAACAAAAAATAGTAATGAAAATCCAGGTCTACAGATACTGAATCTTTGCTGTGCTAGGTATTTCTGGGAAACAAAAGCAGAAATAAGGCGTATCATTATGCAGGAATTATAGGGGCACATGCAGAATTTTGTAGGATCACACAGGAGGCAGAGTAATCATGCTCACGGAAGATGACTGTGTTTATTGGAGGAACTGGTAAGAAACAAGCTGGTAGGAAGACTTATTAAGCGAGTGTCATGGAAAAAACAAATATTGCAAAAAGTCATTTAAAGAAACCAGTAGATTAAGTCACTAGGCACTAATGAAAAATTACCTTTGTGGAGATGACAAACGTTTAAGCACTAAACAAATCGAGAAAGGCCTTGTGAAAACTAATGAAGGGAAACCTCACCAGAGTCTGGAGGGAGGCAGTGGGAGTCAAAGCATTCCTCTGCAATTACTGGAAGAAGTGTCAGTTACAGACCCCAACAGAAGAAACCTCGAGAAGAAAGAATCATCACAGTCCCTCACACAGAAAAGACGCACACTGCATCTTCTATAAGAAAACAACTACCCCTGCAACTTAGCTGCTGAGAAACCATGCTTTTCTCTAACGAACTTTAGACTTGCCTTCAAAACAATCCGTTCCAAATTCTTCCTGCTTCTCAAAAAACATGCTGTTCCTCTTCTTTGTTGGATGTGCCTATGGTTTTTCAGCAGCTTCTGTGTCCCAAATTCCAACTCTCCACTATTCCTGAATAAACCCATTTTTATGGCCAAATTACTGTTTTATTTTTAAGATTAAAAATTTTTTTAATGTTTATTTTTGAGAGAGAGAGAGAGAGAGAGAGAGAGAGAGACAACATGAGTGTGCGAGGAGCAGAGAGAAAGGGAGACACACAATCCAAAGCAGGCTCCAGGTTCTGAGATGTTAGCACAGAGCCCTACATGGGGCTCAAACCCATGAACCGTGAGATCATGACTTGAGCTAAAGTCTGATGCTTAACTGACTGAGCCACCCAGGCGCCCCTTATTTTTAAGATTCACAGGCTTTGTAAAAAAAATTAGTCCTGGGGTGGCTCAGTTGGTTAAGCAACTGACTCTTGGTCTCAGCTCAGGTCTTGATCTCAGGGTTATGAGTTCAAGCCCCGTGTTGGGCTCCATGGTGGGTGTGATGCCTACTGAAAAAAAAAAAAAGTCCTGAATAAAATCAAATGCTGTGGGCTGAAGACAGCAACTTTTTTCATGGTGTACAGCACCAACATTCTTGTTTTTCACTCCCAGAAAACTTTTTCTAGATTACTTTGTTATTGCAGCAAAAATAGCATCTAGTGAGTGAAATCACAAGCAATTGCTTCCATACTCAACTGAAAATATAGAAAATAACTGGAAGACCATTTTTTTTTTTTTTAATTCTGCGGAAAGTAAACAAGTGTAACTAAATAAGAGCTGGTTTGGGACAATTTGTACATTACAGGATTCCAGTGTTTATTAGGCTAGCAGCTAAAGGTATTTTCTTTTAATCAGGCTTCGTGCCCAGCATAGAGCCCAACATAGGGCTTGAACTCACCACCCTGAGATCAAGGGTCAGATGCTTAACCCAAAGAACCACCCATGCACCCCTAAAGGTGTTTCCTTTGAACAAACTCATTATTTTCTTTTAAATCCATCCTCATTACACATACCATAGATAACTAAGTTCACAATTTTGCTATATACTGACTGAGGCTCTTTTTATTTATTTACTTATTAAAAATTTTTAATGTTTATTTTTTTAAAAAATTTTTTAAATGATTATTTATTACTGAGAGAAAGAGAGAGAGCACAAGGAGGGGAAGAGCAGAGAGAGGGGGAGACAAAGAATCCGAAGAAGGTTCCAGGCTCTGAGCTGTCAGCACAGAGCCTGATGCAGGGCTCCAACCCACCGGCTGTGAGATCATGACCTGAGCTGAAGTCAGACGCTTAACCGACTGGGCCACCCAGGCACCCCTAATGTTTATTTATTTATTTTCCTAATGTTTATTTTTGAGAGAGAGTGCGCGTGAGCGCGTGTGAGTGTTTGTGAGCGGGGGAGGGGCAGAGAGAGCGGGAGGCACAGAATCAGAAGTAGGCTCCAGGCTCCCAGCTGTCAGCACAGAGCCCGATGTGGGGCTCGAACTCACAAGCTGTAAGATTACGACCTGAGCTGAAGTCAGACACAACTGACTGAGCCACCCAGGCGCCCCCAAGGCTCTTTTTAAAATAAACAAATGTTTAAATGGTGGAGCTCATTCCATACAAACTATCTAAATTCGAACCTACAGTTTCTAAGGGCTGGGAGATCAGAAAAAGGGCCAGTAGCTCTTCTCCTTCTCAAACTTCATCTGTGTGTAACTTTAGTTGCAAACAGCAACCCTAGATACAGGACACTCTGAAAAATGGCATGCCTTCGTTTCCACCTAAAAGCATTAAAAGCAAGTAACCTTGGGGCGCCTGGGTGGCGCAGTCGGTTAAGCGTCCGATTTCAGCCAGGTCACGATCTCGCGGTCCGTGAGTTCGAGCCCTGCGTCGGGCTCTGGGCTGATGGCTCAGAGCCTGGAGCCTGTTTCCGATTCTGTGTCTCCCTCTCTCTCTCTGCCCCTCCCCCGTTCATGCTCTGTCTCTCTCTGTCCCAAAAAATAAATAAATGTTGAAAAAAAAGAAAGTAACCTTTTACAATCATTCTATTTATGCCTCAATTTCTAAACCTGAGTACTTCGCTGGGAAAATGTGGAGTTAAAGATGCCTAAGGCTATTTCACCCTCATTTTGAAAACACAATCTTTTCTGTTAACGAGTAATGGTATACTTTATGTGTTACATTACGGAAACCTGAACAGGGAGGGTTAACCAAATACCATTTGGACTTTAAAAGCAGCTTGAAACATCTCCCAACCGTTCAGTTCTAGTGCAGAAATCTGCATTCTGACCTGAATTCAAGATGGCCTGCTAGCTGCAGTCCCAATTTTAATATTTCATCATGCAAAAAACTTCCATTTAGAAAACACTGCAGTTCTTTAGTCTTCTTACTATAAACCACACGTCCGTGGTATGGTATGGTTAAGATATTCACTTGTGCACTAAGCAGCCTCCTCCAAAGTACAAGCATAAACTGCAGGAAGCAAGGAGTCAGAGATGGCCAAATATTTTTGCAAAACGTGAGTTTCTTTTACCCAGTACTCTCCGGAGTATCTTAAAAAAAAAAAATTCAGCTAAAAAAGAAGTGCCATTTGCTCTAGCAATGACAATGCTGGAGAGACACTGACGAACCCCACGCAAGGAGCAAACACCTTCATCCGTGCCCCGTGCAGCTTCTGGCACCTGACGACCACACCCACGCCAATTCCCGCCCCTCGGCCCCGCCCATCGCTGATGCGGGTCGCCGGCGCGGTCACCGTACAGCGGTCCCTACTGCACGTAAACTTCCGGCTCCGCGGAAACGTCATCCCTGGATTCAGTGGGGAGGTCCCCGGGACGGTACCGGAAGTGACGCAGGGGCGCGCCCTCCATTTTGTGGAACGCAGGAGCAGCTAAGTGCGTCAGTTTTGGAAAGACGTAGACGAGTTTAGTCCTGGTTTGCGGGGAGGCAGACGGCTCCGTCGCAGACTACGGACCTCTCTGGTCTCTCAGCTGCCAAAGATCCTGTCCGGTAGGTGAGTGACTCACTTTGAGGGAAAGGCTTCTCGGATCGAGGCTTCTTCATGGCCGCTCAGATCGTGAGTGGCCAGGGCTGCTCTCTTTGCGGAGGACGGCGTCCAATGAGCGCAGTTTATTCGAGGTGGGCGCTGGGGCACGTCTCCCTTTGGGTACTGTTTGAGGGGAACTGAAGGTGGAAGGGCGGTCGTGGTTATGGTCATTTTTACACAGGGGTCTATGCTCCTCCCTGCCTCCTTACCTCTTCACTACCCGAACCCCCCGAGTTTGGGCGGAGACCTTTGCTCGGGGGTGTGGCTAGGGTTTTCTGCGGGAGGGCGTGATGACTCCGGAACTATGGAGTCGTGGGAGGGGGTGGGAGGAGGGCGTTTGGCACGCGCGGCTCTCCCCTACCGCTGTCTCCGCCGCCGCCATTTTGTGGCTTCCGGCGTCCGCCCGCCGCCGTTTGCGCAGGCGCGGCGGTGGCGTCGTGAGATTCCGGCTTCCACCCGCTGTGACGCTCCTGGGAGGCGGCGACGCGCGCGCGGCCCATCACCATTGGGCTGGCCTTGCGGAGGGCGGGGTCGGCTCCGCCCGCACTTCTCGGCCTTTCCTAACTGCGGCAGATGGGAGGGGGCCAGAAGAGCCAGGGAGACAGTGCGGCTGCGCAGTTCCAGAGGCGGCAGTGGGCGTTGCGGTTGCTGCGGTCTGGGCCCAGGGAAGGATCGTGTTGGGAGCCGAGTTTTAATTTTGTCTGCAAGGGACCTGGCCTAATAAGAGGCACTCTTGGCAATCTTGTTTATAACATCACCGGGTAAACATTTTATTTTATGCCGTTTATGTTTTTGGCCCCTTAACTAGGCATTCTTCTGACATTCACTGGTATTGTTTCAATCGAATCATTTTCTAACAGGAAATACTAGCCGGATATCATGAGTGGCTGTCGAGTATTCATCGGGAGGCTAAATCCCGCGGCCAGGGAGAAGGACGTGGAAAGATTCTTCAAGGGGTATGGACGAATAAGAGATATTGATCTGAAAAGAGGCTTTGGTTTTGTGGTAAGTGTTTTAGAACTACCGTTAAGTCGCTAAAGATTTTGATGAGCAGTGTGTTTTGATTTTACTGAGTTCAGGTAGGGTATCTTTGGAAAACTTTGTATGTTCTTAGAGCAGTGAATTTTCTTGAGGGATAACCTCGCTGTTGGTTGGAGGGAAACCACTCCTGATCGCTGTCTTTAAGATAGTCATTCTGTCACACATTTGCAGTGCTCTTACTATGTTGTAGAATATATTTTAGAGCCACATTAAGCAGGGGGTCGGTTTGTTTGTTTTTTTTCCCCCATGTTTACATTTTAGGAATTTGAGGATCCCAGGGATGCAGATGATGCTGTATATGAACTTGATGGAAAAGAACTCTGCAGTGAAAGGTGAGAACGTTAGTTTTGTAACCAGTTAGCACCGTAAGATGGACAAGATCAGCTGGGATATTTTTCAAAGTCGATCTCTTGTGGCTTGTGTGGAGATAACAAAGTCTTTTTTCCCCCCTTCCTGTAGGGTTACTATTGAACATGCTAGGGCTCGATCTCGAGGTGGAAGAGGTAGAGGACGCTATTCTGACCGTTTTAGTAGTCGCAGACCTCGAAATGATAGACGGTATGTGATAGATGGTGGATGGCTGCTTTGAACAATCTTTACCGCAGGAGGAGCTTTTAATGTTTAAGAACCATTAGCAATAAGTGATTCTGGTACTTACTGAGTAATCGTTTCTCCTTTTCATATGTTAATCCACTGTTCCTGATTAGTGCGTGTAGTAAGTCCTGTAAAATAATGTAGAAACTTGATGGGAGTCCTTTGAATGACTTGTTCCGTCTCGTTGCTTGAACTTGTCCACAGTCGAACACAGTAGGTGCACACTGCTGCATTTCTTCCATTGTGAGTACTCATTTTCTTCCTCAGAAATGCTCCACCTGTAAGAACAGAAAATCGGCTTATAGTTGAAAATTTATCTTCAAGAGTCAGCTGGCAGGTTTGTTGAAATACAGTTTTGAGCTATTTTAATGTGGCTTTTTAAAAATTAATGGGTAGTTAATGTTTTATTATGTTTTATTAAAAGTAATTTTATCTTTAATTAATTTTAAAATGGATTTAATTGTAATTTTAAAATTTTAATTAAATGTAATTGGGGGATATTTCAAACTTTAATAATTAGTGATCAAATGTTTAATGTTTTGAGGATATATTTTCTTGTTTATTAAAATCAATTTTAACCAAATATTAAACCCTTTATTTGCCAGCCTATCTGTGTCGTTGGCCTTATGACGAGGAGTGCCTGTGGGTTATCCTAATCGTTGTCTTGGTCACTCTTGGTTGGGCCTGGTTGACTTTGCCAGTCAGCTCCTACAGTGATCAATTGGCCACCTCTAGATCTGTGTTTGCCGGTCTAGACGTAATCGGTGCACTTAACTTGAAGTGCCAGGTTGCAGCGATCCCAGAGCGTTGATAACGTGATCTGATCCCTAAGTTGAGAGCGGTCTTCCTGTAACGCTTCCGAATAAGAGGTCCTGGTCGAAAAGAGTTGAAAGATACGAAATTAGGTGGTCGTTGGAATCCTGATCGCAGTAAAGTGTTCCTTGGTAACTGCACAAGAGTAGAACATGTCTGCATCCGCCTGTAGTCTGCTAATAGGGAGGGCTGTGCGATTAAAGGCTTCCATCGATTGGGTAGTGTCCTTCAAGTGGGTGGCGAAGAGCCAGTCGGGCATATGTCATGAAGGTTTCTCCGACTGATTAACGGTTTGCTGCTTGACTAGCCTAGGGAAATAATAATAAAGGTAAAGTAAACTTTTTTAATGACATATGGGGCACAAAATAACTGGTGTCTTGTAAATGTTCTGTTTTGTTTTTTTAATATAAAATTTCTACTTTAGTCTTTACTTTTAAAATATGTACTGTTTCTTTTTGTTTCTTTTGTTTTGTTTTTTGTTTTGCTTTTTTTCTTATGTATTGAGCTCAGTATAGACTAATACTACTTTAATGTTAAGATCTGAATTTCCTCTAGCATTTTGCTTAAAAGCAATATGCTTTTTTGCTTATTTCGTGCCCTGACCTAGATAATTTTTCAATTCTGATAGAATACAAGTGTGGTAAATGCCATGTTTGTACTTTATCTAACATCTTCTCTTCCAGTAGTCTTGTTTTTTATACCATGTGGTTGTTTGTGTGTCACATCGCCTTTTCTTTGCTTGACACGATTGTCTTGTGTTAAGGATCTCAAAGATTTCATGAGACAAGCTGGGGAAGTAACCTTTGCGGATGCACATCGACCTAAATTAAATGAAGGGTGAGTGTGTATTGGAGATCATAACCGCCTTTTAAAACCTACTGAAAATTTTACTGGGGATTTTTTTAGAGAACATAAAATTTGGACATGCTGTAGTGCAGTGGTTCTCAATCCAGGAGGAGGTTGCTCAGTAGGGAGCACTGGACAACAGTTTTGGTGGTTGTAACTGGTTGAGGTCACTATTGGCATCTGGGTAGAGGCTAGGGATGCTGCTAAACGTCTGATGGTGCATAGGAAATCCTTCCACAACTGAGAATTAAAAATTGCAGTTGTTTGGAAAGGTTGAGAAACCTTGTTGCAATGCTGTTCTCCATTAAGATCTAAGACAATGTAGTATTAACAAAAGGTGCATGGAGAAGGTATTGTAGTTTGCTGTGTGTAGTGTGAGACTAGGCTATAACATGTATGTACCTTTATAAAGGGCTTTTTTTTTTTTTTTTTTTTTAATTGTAGGGTGGTAGAGTTTGCCTCTTATGGTGATTTAAAGAATGCTATTGAAAAACTTTCTGGAAAGGAAATAAATGGGAGAAAAATCAAATTAATCGAAGGCAGCAAAAGGCACAGGTATCTCTTTAACATTTTTAAGACAAAGTTTTAGTTAATAGGTTTGTAGGGACTGCCTCTTATATTGTATTTTTCCTCCCTTCCTAGTAGGTCACGAAGCAGGTCTCGTTCCCGAACCAGGAGTTCCTCTAGGTCTCGTAGCCGATCTCGTTCCCGGAGTCGCAAGTCTTACAGCCGGTCCAGGAGCCGGAGCCGGAGCCGGAGCAAGTCCCGTTCTGTTAGTAGGTCTCCTGTGCCTGAAAAGAGCCAGAAACGTGGTTCTTCAAGTAGATCTAAGTCTCCAGCATCTGTGGATCGCCAGAGGTCCAGGTCCCGATCCCGGTCAAGGTCCAGATCAGTTGACAGTGGCAATTAAACTGTAAATAACTTGCCCTGGGGGCCTTTTTTAAAAACACACACACAAAAATTCCCAAACCATACTTGCTAAAAATTCTGGTAAGTATGTGCTTTTCTGTGGGGGGGGTTGGGGGTGGGATTTGGAGGGGGGTTGGGTTGGGCTGGATATCTTTGTAGATGTGGACCACCAAGGGGTTGTTGAAAACTAATTGTATTAAATGTCTTTTGATAAGCCTTCTGCTCACATTTTTGTGAATGTCTGAAGTGTATAGTTTGTGTATATTGAGAGAGCTCTTTTATAACTAAAGCAAATTTAATTTTTTTGTACTAGAAAAGATTTGAACATTTTAGTTCTTGGTTATTCAAATATGTTAATTCAGAATTAGTTTAATGCCTCAATTAAACTAATTAATAGCTTTGGACACTTAAAAGAGCTCTAAATTTGCTTGTACATAAAGGCTTGAGTTTTCCTTGTTAGGGTCAAGGGTGTCCTCCCACCCACCCTTTAACAGCTGCCTGACGACACGTTAAAGCAGCTGTTTGTTATTGATAATAAAAGATTATAAAACTGCTTTTGTCTGTCTGTCTGAAGGACGAATGCGGTTTACTCCTCCCTCCCTATCTACATTCAGCACATTTAAAATGCCTTTATAGAGAATCCTGGAGTTTTGTGTGGTGGGTTTTTTAAATTTTTTGAAAATTTAAATCTTGCCAAATCTAGTCAAAACTGGGGCAGAGAAGACCGTGAACTGTTCAAAATAATGGTAACTGTTGTTTTGGTTTCCTGTGTGTGACCTTCCATGCTCTTTCTCTTTATTACTGTATTGTATCGACATCAGGTTGTTTAGGCTTCCGTAGCCAAGAGAACGATAATTTGGGAAGGAAATTATACAAATTGTTTCTATGTGTTGTATGTAATTTTGAAGGTCAGAGGTGATCACAGCTTATTTTAACTCCATGTACAAGAGTGCTTTAAGAGGTTTCGTGTTTCTTGCTTTCAATGCTGTGACGTGGGTGTGACTGTATGTTAAAGGGAAAACAGTTTACTAGAGAAGACTGCTGAAGGTTCTACACCCGTTTTTGTTCTGGGAGCCTATATGTGTAGATGATGAGCGCTGTTAATAGTCTCTTCTAGGACTCTCTAGAGACTAAGATTATCTTGGTCCCATGCAGGAGTGCTGAGTTGGATAAATGGGAGCAGTGAGTGACACGTAGTAGCCAGATACTCTGACAGTTGTCTTCCCTGTGTGTTCTTGAATCTCAGTTACTTCCTACATACAAGAACGCATCTTCTAGGAGCGAAATTGGGGCCAAAGAAGAGCAAGTAAGTGGTGAACTAGTATGGGCATTGGAGTCCAGTTCCCCAGAACCCAAGCACCACGTTTTCTTAGTGTAGACAAATCTGCCTTAGCCTTGCAGGGGTTTTTTGAGGAAAACAGTTGGAAGTACCAATTGGCTTTCCAAAAGTGTGGGCATTGGGTAGTGGGACTCCATTTGGGGGGACAGGTTTGAAAGGTTTTTGGTATACATTTGCTTCTCATACCCCAGACTAGAAATTGAGGCCAGAAAATGGGAAGCCGAACCTTCTACCATGAATGAGATGGATTTTAGGGAGAGTTTAGTAAGCTCGTTTGTTTGCTGAGGTGGAGGCATGTGGAAATCAGTGGAACCTAGATTTTTTTTTTTTTTTTTTTTTTTAAAGATTTTATAAGTAATCTTTGCACCCAACGTGGGGCTTGAACTCTGAACGAGGTCAAGTCGTGTGCTCCACCAGCTGAGCCAGCCAGGCTCCCCGGGTTCTTTTATTGGGTTGCTTCGGAAGGCTGCAAGTCCGCCAGAAGTTAATGTCAAATGGAAAGAGACAATTTTTTTGTTCTTAGGTGTGATAGATGTAACTGGGTAGTATGGTGTAGATACTTCTTGATATTTTAACAGTTGACTCTATTCTGATAGTTTTTCAGTAAATGATAGCCGTGGCTTACCATTTTAATATGAACAAACATTTGTTACACGGTGAAGCAATAAAATATAAGGCCCTTTGAGCAAATGGGAGGTGACTGGGAGTTAATTTGAACCAGCAAATAAACCTGAATTCCCAGATCCAAGACCTGAGAAATAGAGGAGTGTGTTATTCTAAGCAAATTTAGGGCCAGAGTTTGTGGGACATGTGTTAACTTTTTTCTTTATATGTTCCTTTTATCTAGTCCTTTAAAAGGACAATTTGAGGGTAGTAGGTCCCAAGTCCAGCCTTCCTTTCATGAAAAAACTATCCTGCTTAACCAAGTTTCCTAGCAGGTGATGTTGGCTGGGTGGTAGACAAAATCATTTGAACAGTTAAGTTTAAGAGAATATGTAAAAGTGGTAGGTGGATAGACCTTTTCACAGATTAAGAGCATGTTAGTGACCCAAACTGGTGATTCTTAAACTTACTGTGGTATTGGGAGTACTGGTGGTCTTGGACATTGGCCAGATGCTGCCTTAAAATTAACTTGGGTTTACAGTCAGTTGAACTTAATCATACTGAATGGCATGAAAATCTTAATTAGGCACGGTCTGCTATTTGCAAGGATGAGATGTTCATGAATGTAACGATTGTATATCAGCATTACGTAAAAGCATTTCATAGGAAATTTGAAATTTTAGAAATCTAATTTAAATGGAGAAATGACCCCTTTTGCAGTAGCTTGCAGCTCTCTGAGTTTTGAGGGGATATAATAGGAAAACCACTGATAGCTTATGAATTGATTGGCTAGACTTTTAGATTAGTGGGCAGTTCTGTTGGTTGTGTTTTCTTGTTTCCTGGCTTTCCCCCTCTACTTCGATGGTATTCTCCAGAAATGTCCGTTCATTTCATTATGACTGAGATTTTGAACCAGTCTTGTTTAATTGCATTTGCATTCTATGTCTGTTTGTTGTGCATGTAGTATCACATTGGTGTTTTTAGGAGCTTTAATCCATCCCCAAATAGGATTTCAAAAGGGAAGGAATGAGAAATTTTAAGGTTAGAAAGGACTTCTGAAGTTTAAATCTGGGAGCACTGAGCATTTATTTCCCTCTTCTGTCACAAAAGTTGGAACAGGATTTGGATATTTGATTTTAGGTAAAAGTTCCTATTTGTTGCCTAGTTGAGAAATTGCCTTTCATATTATGGAACACTTCGGAGATGCAGAGGCAAAAGGCAGTTTTGGTTTTTGCCTTCATAGGACTGTCATTGAAGAATTCTTTTATTTATTTTTCAGTTTATTTTTTTGAGAGGGGGTGTCACAGAGAGAATCCCACGCAGGCTCTGTACTGACAGCATGGCACCTAATGCCAGACTTGAACTCCCAAACCATGATATCATGACCTGAGCTAGCATTAAGAGTTGGATACTTAACTGACTGAGCCACCCAGGCACCCCACAAGTCTTTATTTTTTAAACAGGTATCAACTTTTAAGCTGGGGCTAGGCAAGGCTCTCAGGTAGACTCCCTCTGTGTCCTCCCACCAGGCGAGGTTTGTCAGTTCTGATAGTTTCTGCTGGCAGTGCTGGAGAAAGACTCTCATTTCTGGTGTTGCTTTTAATCTTTTTACTCTATCACACTGGCTTTCTGAAATATCCTCTGACCAGAATCCAGTCCCCTGGGGGAGCTAGGCTGTGCAAGGGGAGCATTCCTCCCCTTTGTGGGTGCCATTTCCTAGAGCTCCTGGAATCGTGTCTTCAGTTGGAGCAGCTGTGTAGGTCATTTTTGTTTTATCTGGAAAGTTGAAGAGGGTCAAGGGTGGGGAAGGAGAGTAACTGTTAATAAAAAAGCTTATTCAGTGGAAGACAGCACATCCTAGGGGTTAAGTTGTATTCTATATGTTTTTGTGTGGTTCCCCCCCCCGCCCCCATCTCTTACCGGGCATCCTTCCATTACTTTAATTTTTTTTTTTAAGTTTTGTTTATTTTGAGAGCATGAGCATGGGAAGGGCAGAGAGAGGATTCCAAGCAGGCTCTGCACTATCCACACGCAGCCTGATGGGGGCCTCAAACTCACAAATCTAGAGACCATGACCTGAGCCAAAATCAGGAATCGGACACTTAACTGACTGAGCCACCCAGGTGCTCCCTCCCATGACTTAATTTTGCTTTCCCTTGAACATTCCTAATGGTAATACTACCAATCAATCTAATAAATTATTGACTCTTAAATCACTTCCTCTCCAACTTCTTGGTACAGACAGTGCAGTGGAAGAGTTTACGTTCAGCAGAATGGACTTGCATTCTGCAAGGAAGCGCAGGGAGGAGATAGCTTTAAGAGGTCTTCTAAGTGTGGAGTTTCCGTGGCCCCCTCATTGTATTTGGCCTAGCCCTTTTTCCGCCTGTATGGAGGTGGTGAGGAGTCGTGGTCATAGGAGTCGGGATTCACCTATCTTGTCCCCATTTTTGTAGAAGATACAGGGCTCAGAAGCATGAAAAGTTGTGCATCTCCCCCCTTAGCACAGCCGCATCAGCCCTTACAGTGCACTGGCTCTGAAGAGGGTCTTAAGTGTGTTGTAGCCCTGCAAACTTGGGAACGTGGTTGGTTAGTTTAGAAAATTCCACTTCTCACTGCTTTTGCAAGAGGGTGGAGATTTCATTCAGCCTTCACGGGCAACAGATTTGAGTCACTTTCAGGTGAGCATTAGAGGAGGTTCTTTTCCACAACACTAGTTTTGAACAAACGCAAAGTTCTGAAGTATGCTCAGCTACTTAACTGGTTTCTTTTTGGCTGCTTGATACAGTTATATGCTAATTGTTTGTTTGCTTTTACTACCAGAAGATAATCACCAGGGAAGTTGTCTCCTATGGTCTAAGTCCATCCCCAGGGTGTAGAAAACATCTTGAAGGAGCCCTCAGGTTCATGGGAAATGAAGGATTTGAGTGGTTAAGAATATACTTTATAATATGAATATAATATGTTTAGAATTATAAAATACTGAAAATGTCATTCCAAATAAAGTTTTCTGACTTGAAAAAAAAAAAGACATTAACGATCCACTTAACAGAAGGGACTTAGTGGGTTGCCTGGAGGTTTATTATAGTTTAAAGAGAATGCAGAATGCTCTGAGCATCTTAGAGGAGGTGCTGTTTAGAAAGTAATTCAATAGTGATCAGGTTTTAAAGTATCAAACTATTGTGATAGCTATTTAATAAGCTTATATTTAAGTTTTATTTACTGTGTAACCAGAGTTGGGAGTCTTTTTTTGGATTTTGGCTAATTCGATTGCATTGCTTCAATATGTTTTTCTTCATAAAGGAGTACCAGTGGTACTGTGGTCTGACCTGGTTCTAGGACCGGAGAACCTAGTCCTAGGAAACACTGCATTTTCCAGATTGTGAATAGGGGCATTTCACACAACTAACACCTCATAGCTATTTAATATCCAAGACCATTTCTTCATCCTGAGTCTTCCATGGCCTCCCCTTTGCCTTACTCCCATAAGTGCGAAGTCTGTCCACAGTTGATTCTCCTAGCTAGAAGGCAGAGATGGAGTGGAGTTATAAGAAGAGCCTTGGCTCTTTGAAGTCCCTTTGTACTTCTTGGTGCTATCTGGTTCCTAGTGACTTGATAGGAGTTGAAGCCCCTTGCAAAGGTCCCTGCCAGAGACTCACTTGCTGGAAAGGATCAGGTCGGTTATGGGAGAACCCAAAGGAGAATGATTCAGTACTCACCTTTGGAAGGCTTGATTTTCTCATAGCAACGAAAGATGGAGATGAGAAGAACCCCTTCTCCAAGCTGGAAAATCATGTAGAGGAGAGGGAAGAAGAAAAGTGGCCCAATGACTTGAGGGGGGAACGTCACATTGAGAATGGTAGAACAAAGTTGAACGTTTTGGCATCCAGTTTCCATGCTGACAGTGCGCCTGCACCTGTGTTAGGTTCAAAACAAAGCAACCCTATATGCCCTCAGAAGGGACAGGAGGGTACGACACTGGCCCTTCTCCCTCCCAAATCACCCAAGACCCATTGAATGAACGTGGAAGTCAGTGGTGACTAGTAGTTTTGTGGCCGGGAGTTCTCGTGAGAATTTTTGAGCAGCTTGGGGGTTTCACCATTTGCTTCTGCAGGACTACCAGATTAAAATTTGGAGAATGGCTGGCTGATGAGGGATGAAGGGAAGATGTGAGCCACTATCCTTCATTGGCTTGTATGTTGGGTTTACACACAGGGCAGTTGCAGTGTGAACATACAGAAGATGATCTGAAATGCTTGGGCCCCTTGTCCAGTTCCCTAGTTTATGGTTTGGGTATCTTTGAGTCCAAAACACTTCATGATTAAAAACCAAACTTGGTTCAGCCCCGATATCTTTGGAACATATTCATGGTTTTGCTCTCGTTTTATGGACTAAAGAACAGGCACCTGGGTGGCTCAGTCTGTTAAGCATCTGACTCTTGATTTTGGCTCACGTCATGAACTCTCGGTTCGTGGGATCAAGCCCCGCATGGGCTCTGTGCTCACAGCGAGGAGCCTGCTTGGGATTCTCTCTCCGGCCCCTCCTGTCCCTCTTACTTTCTTAAAACAAACATTAAAAAGGGGAGGGGGGATGGGATGTTTACATCTAATGAATACATATTTAATTCATGGAGTTGTGGTCTGTCTTACCAGAAATTCTGAAAACACGTTTATTAGGGGGAGACTACCGTGATGGCCCTTGATTGTGTGGCCATTTATTACCTGTCACTCTTAAAACAATGTACAGTAAGTCATTGACAGCCTTTTGACTCAACTGTATAACCACATGCTACATGTTCTACAGTAATTTTTTATTAGTGTGTTTTTTTTAAATGGGTAACTTTATAAGTTTTATTTTTAAGGCAGTGGTTTTTTTTGGGGGGGTGGGGGATACTAGAGTGCTACTAATGTTCAGACTCCAGCAGCATTTGTCTAGGGCTGACAAGAGGCAAAGTTCCTGAAATGTGCTACTCTAGACAGGGTCTCTATCCCACACCAGATTGTCAGGCTGACTGTCCCTGAGTTTGAAATTGGATTAGACTCAGCAGAGGTCCACAACCACTAAAGCTCTTAGGAGCACTTAGCAGAGCTGTCACCCAGTGGTGTCCTTGTCAAGACTGAAGCCTAGGCAGAAAGGGCGGAAGAGTGGGGAAGGAGGAATATTAACACTTAACCATGATGGCATGGAACTGCTCCAGTGTTGTTACCTACCAGATTTCAGCAGGAGGTGGAGCCTAGGCTCTGGAGGGAGCACTTTGTCATGAGCTCTTTGGGGTATTAGATGCTCTTGTTCCTAAGCCATTCGATACCTTATCTCCAATATGTCTCCGAGTCTAGGGTTCCTGGTTCAGTGGGTGCATTTGCACATACTGCCAGGAAAATGCCTCTCCTAGGTTTTGGGTCTCCTTTTCCTGAGAGACCAGGACAAGAATGAGGCCGATGGAACACAGAGGTCTAAACCAATACTTACCGTCCATTGAGGCGGAAGAGAGCAGAGAGGATGTAGCCCAGCAGGAAGCCGATGAAAGGCATCAGGGAGGAGGTGGCCAGCAAGTGTGGTGTCATGACAAACATGATACTCTTGCCCACATTGATGACCGAGAGCGCTATGATGGCCACACTTAACAAAAGCATGGTGATGGTCCCTCCCTGTAAATGAAAACAGGAAGAAAAGGCAATTAGGGTGGTGGGGGATGGGGAGGGGCAGAGTGACGAGCATGCGTGGTGGGTATCAGAGGTGGAAACCAAGGGAGTGCAAAAAAACCTTTTATCTCCCATCTATTTGGAATTCCTAATCAGTAGCTAGGAAGCTTCTTGGAGGACAGAGACCTAATAATTAACATTCTTGTTACTGTTGACTTAGAAAAGAGCCAGATGTTTACCAGCAAAATTAATTTATTTGGAAATAGAGGAAGTTCAGTTTGGGACAAGCAAGCCATGGTGAACCATAGGCAAGTCCTGAGTACACGGAACAGGGACTTGCTTTTAGAGAGGAAAAGAAGCCGGGAGGGTCTGCTTCATGCAGTTCTCCTTGGCTGGGCTATTGCTGGGAAGGAGAAATACTTCCTCGTGCTGGGGTATGTAAAGTAAGCTTTCCATTAGGCCAGTGATAGTGTATGAGAGCTTTCCCTTCAAGACTTCCAGGCTCCATTTCATATGAGATTTTCTTTGAACATTTGTCCCCCTCCTTTTTAAGTTTATTTTGAGTGAGCATGTGCATGGGGAAGGCACAGAGCAAGGGGGGGAGAGAATCCAAAGCAGGCTCCTTGCTGACAACGATGGGGGGCTCAAACTCCCGAACCGTGAGATCATAGTCAGAGGCTTAACCGACTGAGCCACCCAGACACCCCACGTTGTTCCCTTTCGGTCAAGATCTTTCTTCAGAAACATCGCTGATGAAGAGTCTGTGTATTCACTAAAGTGGCTTTGTCTCTCACTGCCAGGAAGGGTTTTTCCTGGTTGTCCTGTCCCACGTTGGAAAGTGCTTAGATTGGGAACTGTTGAGGCCACATGAGTACCAAGGAAGGGTGTGAGGGAGAACTCTGAGGCATTTCCCATCTGAGGTCTATATATTGTCAAGATTGAAGGCTTTGGAGAGCATCTTGTCTGAGCTAATACCTCCCTATTGGTGTGCCCCTTCTGTAGAGAGAGGTACAGAGTTGAAAAACTTCAGTCTTGCCGTTTGTCCACAACCTGCCGCTGAGACCGGAGACCGTAGGTAGTTGCTTCTTCATAGGTCACTGCGTTTTTTGTACCACCTGACTTCACTGAAGCCATGTGCTGAATGTCCATTTCGTGGGCAGCCAATCAAATCAGCTTGCCGGTGACCCAGGAGATGACCTGGCTCGCGCTTCCCACAAAGGTGGCCTCCACAGCTTGCTGAAATGACCGAACAAATCAGATCCTCTCGTTAAGGGAGTTTGCGGAACTACAGCGAGGGAAGCCGGAGCAGAGGCAAGTGTTAAAAGAGCCAGCACCCTGGCAGCAGTGTAAGCCATAGGTTGGCAGACGCCGTGAGACGGGTGAGGCAGTTCACCAGCAGCAGCAGGTACGGGAAAAGCATAGGTGGACTGGCTGAGTCACTCGAACAGCGAGTGACTTCCTTATTTAAGGGAGGTGGAAGGCTTGTGGTAAAAGTGGCTTGTCGACCAGGTCATGCTGAGGTTCATCGACCTAACCACACGGACTCAAATAAGCCCTTGCCTAGGTAAGTTAAAGTATTACTTGAATTGCCGTTCCAAATAGAGCATCCAAGAAATTGTATCTTGGCATTATCTACGTGTGACCTCCCACTGGGTAATGTGTTTACGAGCAGATACCTTTTGCCAGAGCCAGTTAGAAATTGGGTGATTTTGATTTGAAAGTCTCTAGGGGGCGCCTGGGTGGCTCAGTTGGTTAACGGTCTGACTTGGCTCAGATCATGGATCTCGCAGTTTGTGGTTTGAGCCCCGCATCGGGCTCTGTGCTGACAGCTTGGAGCCTGGAGCCTACTCCGGATTCTGTGTCTCCCTCTCTGCCCCTCCCCGCTCATGCTCTTTCTCTGTCCATCTCCCTCTCTCAAAAATAAATATTAAAAATATTTTAAATTCTGAGTTAAGAAGGAGATATATTCTTATATTAGTTGTGACTAACTATGGTCCTTGGCTTCTTCACCTATAAGTTGAGGAAGAACAGAGTTGGATTAAATGATTATCAGAGGTCACTTCACATTTTTACATTTTTTTTTTCTTTTTAGTATTCCTGTACCTCCACAAACTATCTTGAATAAAATTAGGTGATAGACACAAACATTTCTGGGTTTTTCTTCCCCTGCTAATGTGGGGAGTGGTCCAGGCAGAGGGAAGGACATGTGAAAAGAGAAAAGAGCTAACACTTGGGGGGGGGTGGGGTGGGTGGTTCGCTTTAGCAAATCAAGAAGAGCCGGGGAGGCTACATAAGGGGATTGAAAGTTTATCCTGCAGAGAGTATGGAACCAGGGAAGTGTTTTAAGCAGTGGAGAGACATGACAGTTTGTTCTTTCCATCTCCATCCTCAGGTTGAACCTGATCGAGGAGCCAGGTTCGAAGGCCGTTTCAGTTGTGAGAGAGGATAGTGGCCCAAGTGACGGTAGTGTTGTCACAGGTGGAGAGGAATAGATGGATCCAAGTGAGTGACAGCAGAATAGCCAATCACCTCTTCAGGTGAATGTGACAGGGAATGGAGAGGACATTGAAAAAGACCATACGGTTTTGTGGCTTAGGCAGCTGGGCACATGGAATGCCATTCTTAGAGATAATAACGGGGAGGAGATGGCTTTAAGACATACTGACCATATATAAGTGTGTGTTTGGTGTGTCTGTGGGAAGTGACTGCAAGAATTTTCTGTGCCACCATCTTGAACCACCTTTCATTTGTTATGACTTCTACAAGCTAAAAACCTTTTTTGCACAGTGAAGGAAACAACAAAACTAAAAGAAGAGATTTGCAAAATGACATAACTGATAAAGGGTTAGTATCCAAAATCTATAAAGAACTTCTCAAACTCCACACCCAAAAACCAAATAATCCAGTGAAGAAATGGGCAGAAGACACAAATAGACATTTTTCCAAAGAAGATACACAGATGGCCAACAGACACATGAAAAGATGTTCATCACTCATCAGGGAAATACAAATCAAAACTACAATAAGATATCACCTTACACCTGTCAGAATGGCTTAAAATTAACTCAGGAAACAATGGATGTTGGCAAAGATGTGGAGAAAGGGAACCCTCTTACACTGTTGTCAGGAATGCAAACTGGTGCAGCCACTCTGGAAAACAGTACAGAGGTTCCTCAAAAAGCTCAAAATAGAGCTACCCTAGGACCCACCAATTGCACTACTAGGTATTTACCCAAAGGATACAAAACTGATTTGAAGGGGCACGTGCACCTGATGTTTATAGCAGCACTATCAACAATAGCCAGATTATAAATTACAAATTTTTAAAAATATAAATAATAGCCAAATTATGGAAAGAGCTCAAATGTCCATCAACTGATGAATGGGTAAAGAAATTGTGATACACACACACACACACACACACACACACACACACACAAATGGAATACTACTCAGCCATAAAAAAGAATGAAATCTTGCCATTTACAATGGTGTGGATGGAACTACAGTGTAATGTGATTAGAAAATAAGTCAGAAAAAAAAAAGATATGATTCCACTCATGTGGAATTTAAGAAAACAGATGAACATAAGGGGAAAAGAGAGAGGCAAACCATAACTATAGAGAACGAGATGAGGGTTGCTAGAGGGGAGGTGGGCAGGGTGTGGGCTAAGTAGGTGATGCATATTAGGGAGGGCACTTGTGATGAGCACCAGGTATTACATGGAACTGATGGATCACTAAATTCTACTCCTGAAGCTAATATCACACTATATGTTAACTAAGTGGAATTTAAGGAACTTGAAACAAAAAAGACATATGAGTTTTAAATGCATGAGACATTCAGGTAGAAAGATTTGGCAGTTAAATGGATCCTGGGGGCACATGGGTAGGTGGCCCAGTTGGTTAAGCATGCAACTCTTGATCTCAGCTCAGGTCTCCAACTCGGTGTTGTGAGTTCAAGCCCCATGTTGCACTCTGCTGGGTGTGAAGCCTGCTTAAATGAAGGACGGATGGATGGATGGGTGGATCCTGCAGTTGGAAAACGTTGAGGGCTAAAGATGGTATTCTGGAAGTCATCAGCTTGTAGATGGTCATTGAGAAGGACCAGATCTATGGTGGAGAGACCCTGGGCTTTGGGAAATTTGGCCAGAAAAGAAAGCTTGGGCGAAGGCAGAGAAGTAACTTTTACCACAGGAACTCATCAGGGAGTACAAAGAGACGTGCCAGAAAGATGAGAGGAAAAGCAGAAGCGCCCAGCTGAGGGAGGAGGCTTCTGAGAGGGAAGCGGTGGTCAACCATGCCAAAAGTTGCTAAAACGTTAAGGATGGATGAGAAATGTCTGTTGGATTTGGTGAAGAAAGAACAGGTGGTCATCGAGACGCTGAATGGATGGGAGACCAAGGAGGAGAGAAGAGGGATTCAAGTAGCTGAGACTAACTTGAGAGCCTGCTAAACCTGTGAGAGCAGACCTGGCGGGAGCGGTGGGGGAAAGGTGTGTGCTGGAGGGATGTTTCCTGAAGTGTAGGTAGGGGAGGAAAGGGAAATGTTGGAACCCTGTAGGGATTGTTTTTTTTTTTTTAAGATTGGAGAGCAGTGAACCTGTGTCAACACCAATTGTGAAAAAACATGCGGAGACTTAAGAAATGAGAGTGAAGTTGGGGGAGGCTTTGGAGGTTGGGGGCCATAATCGATGAAAGGACATCTCTGAGAAGCGAGAGTAGGGGGGATGGATGATGCCATCCAGAGCTGAGGTGGGGTGTTCGAACTCGGAAAGGAGGAGGAATGACTTTTCCGGGTCTTCCAACAGGGTGGGAAGGGGCGCTGTGGCCACTGTATGGGGACTGTGCCAGGACAAAGGCAGAACTACCCTGGACGGTGGTAGTGTGAAAACCGAAAAGTCCTGAGAACCTGACTTGCAGCTTCTTTGTTCCAAGCCCCAAACTGCCGCCAAGCCTTGGGCTTCCAGGCAGCATGTCCTGTAGGTTGGCCCAAGGCATCGACCCAGGGCAGAGACAAAAGCAGGCTCTCGGAGTGTCAGGAGTACCAGGATGAGCTGGGGCTCTGGGGGGTGAGCAGTGAGCTGGAGGGGAGACTGACTGGGACTGAGCTCCAGGGTCACAAAGTTGGTAGAGGGACCAAGGCGACGCTCCAAGAGTGTAATTCTTCCGAGGGCAAGGCAGTGGCATGATGTCCTGAGTGTGACCACAGTGCCCCTCCACCCCCAGCCCTCTGGGGCCCTACCCCTCTCCCTCCCACCCCATACCTGAAATGCTAGGAGCACATACGCCACCTGTTGCCCTGGGCTCTTCTGTGGCTTCTCGTAAAGTCAGCCAAGTTTGCCCTCATTCCCCCCGAGTGTCCTCTATCCAGACTTCTCCCCAGGCTGACCCACATCCTACCCTTTCTAAGCCTGTCCTCTCCAGGAAGCCTTTCTAGACTCCCTGCTCCTCACCCCACCTTCTTACATCCAACCACACCCACCTGCCCGTGTGCTGTATGTGATCTTCCTCGTGTGTTCCTCCACTTTCTGCTAGTACCCGACTCCTTGATGGCAATGAAGCCTCAGAGTGTGTAGCATAAAACTTAGCATCTGGGCGGTGCATCACACAAGCCTTTTGGTTATTAAAATAATGATGGCTGATAATTGTGTTATGAAATGTGTTACAAAGACAATTTTCCTCCTAACTTTTCCAAAGGATTCTCATATACATTACCAGCCCACGAGGTAAGTGTACCAATACTAGACCCTTTGCATTCTCCAACGAGGAAGGAAACGGACACGGAAAAAGCCCAAATGACTCTGTTCAAGCCATACATTGAGATGATGGTGGTGCTCTTGTTCCCTGCACAGGGCCCCAGGTTCTTACCTTCTTGACATAGGGTACATATTGTGGCCGTTTGGCATTGAGGAAGATCCCAGTGGCACAGGGAATGAGAACCAGGATTAGTGATATCACAATGCCTCCATAAGGTACCTTGTCCTTCAGATCCCCGGCATAGATCCCCCTGGAGTAGACATACAGGAGGAGGGGCATCATGCCCAGGGCACAGAAGGTGGAGCAGGTGGTCATCACGATACTGGGTGGGAGAAGCAGGGGAGAGTACAGAGAGACAGCGCCCGTTAATATAGACTATTTGTTGAGTGCCTGCTACGTGCCAGGCACCGTGCTAAGCACTTTACATACATTAATTCCTTTCCTTTTCCCAGTAGGCTTAAGAGATACAGGCTACAGGTTGATAGTCTCATGTTTGTTACTTTCTGCTTTATCTTTATTTATGATAGAGTGTGAGTTCCAAAGCCTGAGTCATAATATATATTCTCAGCTCTAATTTGTATCCTAATTGCACTATTACCATTTCTATTTGGAATCCAGTACATGTTGGTCACAGGACCCTGTACAGGGAGAGGCCTTCCAGAAAGGCCACCCGAAAGAATGAAGCTGCTAGGGAACATTGTTGGATTTGCGGATATTCGTGTGACAATATACGACTCTGGTTTCCATTCTTGCGGGCATGTTAGTCATGAGGGCTTGGCAAGAGCCCAGGAAATCCCCACTAAGTGTGTGTTTCCCCTCCCACAGCCCTAACTATCTGCACTAATTTGTTGTTTCCACAGAGGTGAACTATAGCTTAACTGAACATCAAGCATGGCCTAGGTCAACGGGGCCAGAATGTAGCCATCAAGAACAGCAACAGGTAGAGGTATCATCATTAGGAATAAGATGTCAGAGCAAGGCACGTGGCTGGTTCGGTCAGAAAAGCATATGACTCTAGATCTTGGGGTCATGAATTGGAGCCCCATGTGGGGTGTAGAGATTACTTAAATAAAACTTAAAAAAAAAAAAGACAGCAGAGGTGAGGAGAGACCCTCAAAAAATGCTGAGAACTTAATGGAAAATCCTTCCTCTGTGAACATCTAAAACACCTATGAACACATATTTGAGCTTGTAGGAAAGTTAGGGAAGTTTCCAGGTACCAGAGACAGAACGCAAAGGAGTTGGTGGGTGAAGTCAGGCTGGAGCTGCACCGCATGGAGTGGGGAGGGAGGGGGGTGTTTGTCTGGGAATCTGGAGGCTTAGGTTTTATTGCCCAAGGGAGGGACCAGAACTGAGGTCTTATGCTTATAAAGGAGAGTTGAAACCGAGATATCCATAATAAAAGAACTGTTGGAAAAGAAAAGATCTAATTATCTCACATGTCAAATATAAAATCATAACGGAAAAAATATTTGGAAAAGCATAATGATGCCACACATGTTTTAAAACACATGGGAGCTGACCTTGGATTACACAATAATTCGTAGAAATGAGGGGCACATGGCTGGCTCAGTCGTAAGTGTCCGACTCTTGATTTTGGCTCGGGTCATGATCTCACGGTTTCGTGAATTCGATCACGTCAGACTCTGTGCTGACAGTGCGGAGCCTGCTTGGGATTCTCGGTCTCCCTCTCTCTCTGCCCCTATCACACTCGCGCTGTCCCTGTCCCTTTCAATAAACTTAAAAAAAAATTTTTTTAATGACACCTAAAGCACAAACAACCAAAGAAAAAAATAGATATATTTAACTTCTTCAGAATTAAAAATGTTTGTGTTTCAAAGGACACTATCCAGGAAGATATACCAATGGCAAATAAGCACATGAAAAGATGCTCCACATCATTAGTCATTAGAGAAATATAAATCAAAACATGAGGAGATCACCACACCCAATAGTATGGCTACAATAAAAATGATGGATAATAAGTTTGGTGAGGATGTGAAGAAGCAGGAATCTTCCTGTGTTGTTGATGGGACAGTTACAGAACGACCCACCAATTCTACTAGATACATACTCAAGAGAATCAAAACATACGTTGTTACGTATGTTGACACAAAGACTTGTATACTAATGTTCATAGAAGCATTATTCATAATAGCCAAGAAGTGGAAAACAGTAAAAATGTCAACTGAAGAACGGATAAGCAAAACATGGTGTATCCATACAACTGAATATTATTCAGCCACAAAAAGCAATGTGTTAAGTACCTGCTACGTGTTACCACATGGGTGAACCTTGACAACAGTGTGCTACGTGGAAGAAGGAGAAACATAAAAGACCACATAGTGTGTGATTCCACTTATATAAAATTGATAGACATGAAATAGATTAGTGGTTGCCAGGGGCTCAGGTGAGAGAGGAAAGTGTAGTGACTGCTAACTGGTTTCTTTTGGGGATGATTAAATGTTCTGGAAGTAGATAGTGGTGACAGTTGTACAACCTTGGGAGCATACGGAAAACTATTGGATGATACACTCTAAGAGAGTGAACTTCGCGGTATATGAATTATAGCTCAATAAAAAATAATTAAATCTGGGGAGCAGCTAAAATAATTCTTAGAGGAAAATGTTTAGAGCCTTAAATGTTTATATAGGGAAAGCAGAAGAGTAAAAACAAGCTAAATATCTTACCCAGAAACTTAGAAAAAAACAAAGGAAACTCATGAAAATAGAGGAAAGAAATGATGTACAAAAATTACATACAATGAGAGGGTCAATTAAACCAAGAGTAGTTTCTCTGCCAAGTCCAAGAAAAGACTCCTCTGGCATGCTAATCCAGGAAAAAGGGAGAAGGCACCATTGATTGTATTAGGAATGAAAAAGGGAACATAACTGCAGACACATTAAAGATTTTAGAGAGTTCTAGAAGAAACCGAGGCCAGTTTTGTACTTTCATTTTTCAGTTTAGATTGAATGGACAATTTCCTGGGAAATATAAACTACAAAAACCAATTCAAAATGAAGCTGAAACCTTAGTATTGCTGAAGGATATGAAGGAAGTGAAAACCTACCCTCCAAACCCCACATGATGTATATGGTTTTATAGCAGAGCTCGGCCAGACGTTCAAAGTACAGATGGTCTCACTATTATACAGACAATACAAAAGGGGGAAACCTTTTGTATTGTAAATTGTATGCCCCAATTTATTGTATATGAATAGTGTAATTTTAGAACCAAAGCTGCAAAAGGATATCATGAGGAAGGAAAGTTAGGGGCCGTTCTCGTGAACAAAGGAGAAGTCATAAATACATTATTAGCAGATTAGCAATGCTTTTATAAAATAATACAAAAAATAAGATGGGTTTGTCCCAGCAATGTAAGAGTGGGTTAACATTAGACTAAATCCACTGACCTATATCACTGTATTATCACATTAAAGTAAAAATGGTATCATTTGATAGATACAGAAAATTGTCATTCAACAAAATTCAATGCTCATGCATTACAAAAATTAGCACACTAGCAACAGAATAGAATTCCTTAACCTGAAAAGGGTATCTATCAAAAAGTACAGCAAACAGTAAACTTCATGGTGAAAAATTAGAAAGTTTCCTCTTAGGGCACGCCTGGGTGACTCGGCTGGTTAAGCATCTGACCTTGGCTCAAGTCATGGTCTCCTGATTCATGGGTTCCAGCCCCACATAGGGCTCTTTGCTGTCAGGGTGGAACCAACCTGGGATTCTCTGTCCCCCTCTCCTCGCTGCATTTGCCCTGCTCACACTCTCTTGGTCTCTCAAAACTAAACATTAAAAAAAAGTTTCCTCTGAGAAGAAAGATAAAGCAAATGATATCTATTACCATCACAGTTATTGTAAATCATCCTATATATGTCTTTGCTAGCACAGCAAAACAAGAAATAGAAACTGTATGGGATGGGAAAAAAATAAACCAGACTTTCATTACATGCCAATGATTGGACTGTCAACAGAGGAAATCCAAGTGAATTCCTAACTAGTAAGGAAGAGAATCCATGAGTTTCTAAAAACATTAACAATATGAAGGAGGCACCTGGGTGGCTCAGTCAGTTAAGCATCCGACTCTTGGGCTTCAGCTCAGGTCATGATCTCACTGTTGGTGAGTTCAAGCCCCATGTCGGGATCTGCAGAGGCTGCTTAGGATTCTCTCTCTCTCTTTCTCTGCCCCTCCCCTGCTCATTCTCTGTCTCTTTCTCAAAATAAATAAATAACATTGAGAAAAAAAAAGAAACAAATATAAAATGTTTAGAAATCTAAAAGAGATATGCAAGATTTTTAAAGAAGAAATTATAAAACTCCATAGAAAGGTATAAAATAAAGTCCAAATAAAAAGAAAAGCTCTATCATTTTCATGGAAGACCCAATATTATAAAGATGGCCTCTAAATTTATCTATGAATTTAATCAACAGTCCAGAAATATTTTTGTAGACTTGAGAACTAATCCCTAAATTCTTTTTTTTTTTTTTCAGCGTTTATTTATTTTGGGGACAGAGAGAGACAGAGCATGAACGGGGAAGGGGCAGAGAGAGAGGGAGACACAGAATGGGAAGCAGGCTCCAGGCTCTGAGCCATCAGCCCAGAGCCCGACGCGGGGCTCGAACTCATGGACCGCGAGATCGTGACCTGGCTGAAGTCGGACGCTTAACCGACTGCGCCACCCAGGCGCCCCGACTAATCCCCAAATTCAAGTGAAGAGTTAAGGGCCAACAATAGCTAACATTTTCAGGAAGAACACGGTGTGGGGATTTGCCTTTCAAATATTGAGACTTATAAAGTCATTGTAATTAAGAAAATTTGGTGCTCGTGCAAAGAGCCACATAGACCAATAGAGGGGACATCCCAGACACAAACCCATGCACATTTGTGAATGTTACCTATGTGAGAGATGGCAGTACAACTTACTGGAGAAAAATTCACTCAGTGGTACTGGGAATTTTCTCTATTCATATGGAAAAGATAAAATTAGATCACACCATCCGTAAAAATAACCGCTAGGTTGATTGCAAATCTCCATGTGAAAAGCATAACTTTGAAACTTGTCAAAGAAAATGTAGGGGAATATCTTCATGACCTTGAGTGTAGTAAAGGATTTCCTAAAGGACCCCCCACCAAACACAAACTAAGAAAAAATATTGGCAAATTCAACTAAATTAAAATAAGCACTCTGTGTTATGAGACATCATTATCAAAATATAAAGGCCAGCCCCAAACTGTGAGTAGACCACTGCAACGCGTGAAAACAACAAATAACTACAAATCAAAGAGAAAAACACAACAGTTCATTAGAAAAATAGGCAAAGACTTATTTCTGGAAGACCAATGGTGAACCAGTCTTCCGCCAAATGGTCAATAAACCTATGACAATGTGCTAAGCCTCTCTTGAGATCACATTTAACTCTTTGTGACCCATTTCACTCTTACCAGGTGGCGAAAACTATCAGAGTCTGACAACTCCGAGTACAGCGAAAACAAGGAGGAAGAAGGATCTATCTACACTGCTCGGGAAAGTGTGACCCGGAATGACTACTCTGGAGACTCATTTGTGGATGTGTGAACCCTACGACCTAGAAGTGCTGTTTTTATTATATACACTCTCACGTGGCAGCGCAGGGGCATAGGGTACAAGACTGTTCACAGCAGCAGAACGAGAAATCCCCCGAAACGTCTGCGACTAGAACAGATACATTCAAGCAAAGGACACTGCAGTCCAGAGGCACAAAGTAGCTATTTTATTCATATGCCTATATCTCAAAAAAGTAAGCTGGCAAATGATAGGGGCAGTGTGGTACTGTTTATACAAATTTTAAGAAGGTACAAGCACAACAATGTATCTTGCCTATGGATATATACAAGTACTGCCTGTAGCAATAGTATAAAAGGGTCTGTGCTCCCTCGGGGTGGGTAGGGGGCACGGGATTGGGGAGGGGCGCACAGGGGCTACAGGGCTACTATTGATCTCTTCTGAGGAGAAGAGCCACACACAGCTAGTGTGCTTGTTTTGATGTCCTTGAGCAGAGGAGTCATGCTTACTTTGGCTTGGTGTGTCAGGAGTTCTGGAATTTGCTCTGGGACGCGGTGTGCCTCGGGGTGTGCCTTGGAAACCATGCCCCAAGACCTCTGGGGGACTGCTGTGCAGGTGCCGGGTGCACCTCCTACCTTGCTGGTGTCTATGACTGTCGCGATCCTCAGTTTACCCTGAGAGACAGGGAGGGGAGGTGACTTGACCAGGCTCCATTTCGGAGACTGGAGCTTGTTCCGTAGGAACATCATGGACCTGGTTGTCCCTCGGGGGACAGAGGGCCAGAGGGAAAGGGGCACGTGGAGTTCCTTACTCCTCCTCCCTGCTTAAGTTCTCAGAGCACTGCGCACGCCCTGCTTTTGGACATCTGTACACTTTCCCCCCAAATTCTGGGAAACCTCTGGCAGGTCTCTGGACTTCGGCTCGTCGTCTATAAAATGCAATGGGAGTCTTAACCGCCCCCACTCCAACTCTCAATGGCAAATCCTATCGTTTTGTACTTAAAGAGAGGTCTCGTACTGGCAGCCTTTGAGCTACAGCTGGCTCCTGAACACACGTTTTTTTGGCTTGCACGGTGTTTTAAAATTTTTTAATGAGTTGCCAATATTGAAAAATTTGGAGAGTTCACTTAAAAATGGAGATTCACTTAAAAATGCCTTCTCTTGAATCGGCCACAGTGGCTCCCACAGAACACCCACAGCAGACATGCGGCATCTGCCTTGCTTAGGGGGCCCATCAGCCACTTGGCTCATCTATACACATGCCGGGCCCTGAAAGGATTTAAAAAAAATTCTTTTTTTATAAAAAAAAATTTTATTTTAGAGAGTGTCTGAGCAGGGGGAGGGGCAGAGGGAGAGAGATGAGAGAGAGAGAGAGAGAGAGAGAAACAGAGAATCCCAAGTAGGCTCCATGCTCAACACGGAGCCCCACACAGGGCTCGATCCCACCACCTGATCATGACCTGAGTGGAAATCAAGAGTTGGATACACAACCGGCTGAGCCACCCAGGCACCCCATGAAGGTATTTGAGTAGAAGTGCAGGATCTGGAGTCTCCCAGACCTTGGACAAATGTATTAACCTTTCTTAGGCTCAGTTTCCTCATCTTTATTTATTATTATTATTATTATTTAATGTTTATTCATTTTTGAGAAAGAGAGAGAGAGAGAGAGAGACAGAGCATGAGCGGGGGAGAGGCAGAAAGAGAGGGAGACACAGAATCCGAAGCAGGCTCCAGGCTCGGAGCTGTCAGCACAGAGCCCGATGTGGGGCTTGAACCCGTGAACCGTGAGATCACGACCTGAGCCAAAGTCAGATGCTCAACTGACTGAGCCACCCAGGCACCCCTCAATTTCCTCATCTTTAAAATGGGACTATTTACAGCACCTCCTCACAGGATACTGTATGAGGATTTCATGGAAAGTGCTTGGAGCAGTGCCTGGCTGTTTCTTATTATCAGTATCATTTCAGTATAATACATGTAACATGTTGTCCCAGATGAACTCCAATTGTAATTTAAAGTCTGGCAGCGTGTGAAGGTAGATGATGAGATACATATTGCACCACTGGGCTCTAAGGCATGGTTTAATGTGCGTGGGAGGTTTGTCTGTTTGCAGGAACGATATGGCAGGAGGTGGCCATCCCAACATTGTCTTTGTAGAGTCTCGGTAGAAGTGAGAGTCCCCACGGGCCCAGACAGGGAGGCTGAGCAGGCGAGCATGAAGGCTCACGTTCCTGAGTCACTGAGGCTGGGCTGGGGGGGTCTCGAACCTCAGAAATGCAGGCCTAACTGGAGAGACCTCACTGGCACCCATTGGCTGATGAGGCTGGGACATCTGGTCACTTACACTTAAAAATGTCTCCTTGTTCTTTACATGGTCCTTCCTTGCTCTGCCGTTTCTGCAGGTTCACAGAGCCCTGAGAATACCCCTTCCCTGACCCCTGACTTCCTGCACCCCTTCTGCACTGGAATTAAGATACAGTCTGGATTTCTCAGGACACAGAGGCTGCAATGAGCCGCGTCCACAGGGCAGACCGAAGACTGACGGTTTGCTGTGCAGCAGGAAGGACTCGGATCAGACGGAGGGAAGAATTTCCTCACAGGTAGTTGAACGTGTTCTCAGGGAAGACTGTACGAGCCAAGTCCCCTCTTTGTGCCTCTCTTCCCATCAGCTACCTCCTGAGGGCTGAGTCTCGTGGGTGGAGAGGCCAGAGCTCGGGTGGTGGGTCCCAGGAAGGACAAGCTCACTCTTGTTTTTTTCATTTAAAGAGCGGTGGTCTCACTCTACATCACAGGCGGGGTTTCCTTAGTTGTCTGGTTTGCTTACTGGAGTTGGTAGGGTGCCGGCCAACACAGGCATGGATGGAAGGTCTCCACTGGGGACTGAACGCCAGAGGAGGCAGGCTGGGGACTGAGCCTCACAGAAAGGCAAGAGCTTTCGCTGATGAGTTTCCCTCAGCCAGCGTGGGCTACTGCTGGGGCTGGAGCCCCGGACTGAAATGGCCTCGTTCTGGCAGGTGTTCTAGATCAGATTCCCTCCTGTTTGGAAGGACAGGTGTTCAGCCGGCCCCTGCGGAAATGAGCCTTTGCCGACTTCTGCTCGGAGGCTTTGGGTGAGAGGACACTGCTGGTATTTTCCCTCCCAGTTGGGCTGAGATGTGGCCCAGCATGGCCTGTGCCAGTGTTGGGAAAGTCGAGGATCTGCCTGGTTGTGTGTTTGCACAGATGCGTTCCTGTGCCCGATGGGCCCACAGGGAAAGTTAAAAGAACCCCTCACTGCCTGGATAGTTGGAAGGATCTTTGGAACGTCTTGCCTATTCTGCAGGGATTGGAAGTGCTCTGTGGTTCCAGGGTGGCTTGGACCATCTGCACTCCCTTTCGGACCTCTGGTCTCAAGGCAGACGACTTGCCCATCATGGTAAGTGGGCAGAGTTTCCCAGAGGCCCCTCGGGTTTAAATCACTACTCCTTCAAGACAGTCCTTGTGGCCCACTTGTGAGGGAGTCTTCAGGAGGCCCCTGGACCAGGTGGGCCCCTTTGACTTTGACTAGGCCCCAGATCCTACCTCCAGCCCTGCATAGACTCTGGACGACAATGCCCACCACCCCCTGCCCTAGCATCCACCTGGCCCCCGCTCACGCCCCATCCTGGCTTTAGCCCAGCTTTCCCCCTAGACTCTGACATCTCCAATGCAGCTCCCATGCCCAGCCTGCTCCCTCCTCACCTCCAGTCCTACCTGAGGTTCATGTCCCCCTTCATGGCCAGACTGAAGATGTTGGACAGGGTCCCCCCAGGTGAGCAGCCGCAGACAAGGATGGCCAGCGCCTCAATGTTGTTGAGCTGGAAGACCTTGCCCAGTGAAAAGGCGGTGAGGGGCATGATGCCGTACTGTGCTATCAGGGCGATGGCCAGCCCCTTAGGCTTCCAGAAGTGAGCCTTGATCTTGCTGAACTCCATGGTGCAGCCCAGTGAGAGCATGATGATAAGGAGCAGGAACACCAGGATGACGCTCAGTGCCTTGTCGGTGGGGCGCTTGCCGAAGTTGGGTGGGAGGGTGAAGTTGAGCGTGGCAGTCACATTGTGAGGCTCCATTCTCCTGTGTGGCGGCGGAAGGCCAGGGGCACCCGGCACACCCCTCGTTCGCTGCCGACTCCCTTCCCTGCCCCGTCTTTGCTGGGTGCCTTCTTCCGTCACCTCCCAGGGCAGCAAGCTTCAGGACAAAATGTGGCTCTGGGCAAATAGAAGGATTATGCAACTGGGTGTTCTGTCCTCTGGCTGTGGCCCCAAAGGGGAGAGAACCCAGAGCCTTATCTGCCTGGACTTCCCTGCTTCTTCCAGCTTCTGTACGTCTGCACCCTTCCTGGATGTCACTTACACTCCCCCCCCCCCCTTAACACTTGGCTGCCTCTGGGACAAGAGGGCCATTTCTGTCCTTTACTGCCCACAGAGCATGTGCCACAAGCATTCCGTCTCTGGGGACCCGTCCACGGCCAGCACTGATCCAGGCCAGGCCCTTCTTGTTCTCTGTTCAGTCTCTGATGCCTCGATTCTCATTTGGGGAAGACGCCCTCCCCATGCCCAGCGGGTCCCCTCCGTCTGCCCCCGAACCCATGTAGTGAGACTGTCGGGTGTTGCATTTCCTTCCCGGACATAGGTAGCCTATCTCAAGGCGCTGTGGGACAAGGTAGGGGCAGGTGTGCTGCTGGCTTCCAGAAGGAGATAAGTCCCTGGATCTTCTCCTGGAAGCTGACAGGGGCCTGCGGAAGCCCTTATCTTATTCCCAAACCCGGACAGAACAGGTGCGAGGGGGTAGAGCCTGCTGGGATGGTGAGGGGCTCTCAAGAAGCCTGGGGGGCTTTTTTCCTAAAAGGCAGCTCTCAGGGAATCCTGGCTGAGGAGACTTGTTTGTGCTCCGATGTCCCAGCCAGCAGCCTCAATGGCCTCGTTGCTTGGGCAACTTGCTGAGAAGGAAGCAGGAATGCACAGGCTTTCCGTTTTGATTTCCGGACCGCTCTACTTTTGCTCTGTGCCTGTGTGTCTCAGGCTGGGAGCCAGGCTCTGGGCCCGGATGTAGAAAGAGGCAAGCACCTGAGGCCAACACCTCAGGCCCCTCCTGAGCCTTCCTCCCCCATCCTAGCACAGGTGTGGGACAAAGGAGCAGTCCTCTGAAGAACAATCACCTCTTCTGGGTTGGAACCCACAGGGGGGTGGGGGGGGG